CAGCCTTCCTTCATAGGTCATGTTCTCTAGACCGTTAATCATTCTTGTTGCTCTTCTCTGGACCCTCTCCAATTTCGCCACATCTTTCTCGAAATGCGGTGCCCAAAACTGGACACAATACTCCAGCTGAGGCCTAACCAGAGCAGAGTAGAGCGGAAGAATGACTTCTCGTGTCTTGCTCACAACACACCTGTTAATGCATCCCAGAATCATGTTTGCTTTTTTTTGCAACAGCATCACACTGTTGACTCATATTTAGCTTGTGGTCCACTATAACCCCTAGATCCCTTTTTGCCGTACTCCTTCCTAGACAGTCTCTTCCCATTCTGTATGTGTGAAACTGATTTTTTCTTCCTAAGTGGAGCACTTTGCATTTGTCTTCATCCTGTTTAACTCAGACCATTTCTCCAATTTGTCCAGATCATTTTGAATTATGACCCTGTCCTCCAAAGCAGTTGCAATCCCTCCCAGTTTGGTATCATCCGCAAACTTAATAAGCGTACTTTCTATGCCAATATCTAAGTCATTAATGAAGACTAATTGTCTTTAGTACAACTAAGATGACTAAAACTAATAGACACACACCACTCATGCTGAAAGGTGTTTTTCCCCCCACTACCAAAAATAAAAAAGCTAGTTCCTGTATGTTGGTTTATTTCTGAAGTTTAGCGAGCAAACAAAATAATTGGTGGTTAATTGGGGTTGGTTAGTTATACTGTAGAGTTAAAGCCACATCACAAGTTAAGTTACTTAAATTTGCTAAAGAAAAGCAGAATAACCTACAGGAACAAGTGTTCAGGTACTCATATCAACTTCCCAAACTAGCTTTGACTCATCGTCCACACTTGAGAAGTAAGTGATGCACCTGCCATGCCTCCACGGTCCATGAGCAATGTCCCTCTCTTTCTACCCTTTTTCACTAACCAACTCACCGAAGCCATGGTGCTTCTCTTATGTGTAGGGTCTTTTAACACTTAAGCCTTGACTTCAACAGTTTGCTAAATTACTAAATTTTGAGAGCAGCCATGCTACAAAAACAACTCAGGTTACACAGAGTGATTTGATTAACAGCTGAGAGTTATAGCTGAAGACTGTAGCTATGTCCCTACTGCATTATTAGCTCATGCTTCAGTAGTACTTCAGCATCTACCCACCGCCCATGGCAGACCATCTAACTCGAATTTAAAACACCAGATAACTCAAGCTAGAGATTTGTGTATGTAGATGGGAGTTGGGTTAGAGGCAACTCTAGTTATACCTTGAGCTAACACTGCAGTGAAGACAAGCCATTAGAGAACATTTTCTTTAAGAGTTTCTATCTCATACATTTATAAACAAAACTTAAGTTTTGCAGACACTGTTTCAGCACATCTGATGGCTACTCATCAGTATCTGTAAATACCAGCTTAATCTTATACTTTCTAGTCTTGCCATATCCCCTCCCTACTTAGGAAAGAGTTTTTACCTCCTGTGTATGATTTTAAAAGGATTAAATGCCTTGAGCTTTAACACCTTTTTAAATTATCCCTTTTTAGCAAGGCATGGGAGGATGTTTCTCAGACAGTGTGTAAATATAAAATGTAAAGTTCATTCACATTTAGTAACGAATGGCTTATAAAAATCACAAAGCTTAAATTACATTTACGTCTTACTCAGTACAATGTGTACATCATTTAGATATAGTTACCTATGACTAGTTTTCAAGCAGATGCCAGGCTATAACAATAAAGCACTTGGCTAATTCTCAGAACAGATGTGCTTGAATAAAGTACTCCTGAAGGTTTCTATTAAGACCTTCTAGCAAAAGAGTCCTTGATGCATTATCAGGAACTTGGGACATCAGAAAGTACATTTTCTATACAGCATAAATCTAAAACTTGGCCAGATTCTTGGGTATGATTTGATCATTCTGTGCCGCATTGAATCTGCCTGTAGAGCAAGTGTATCTAGTCCTCAGAAGGTCACTTGAACCCACGGTAAGTCTAGTCATTTTCCTTGAAAAGAGCCTTGAAACTAATGCAAATGGATTGTTGTGGTTAAATGGAAAATGCATGCAGCTTGGCTGCACTTGTGCTGCAGAAGACTGGAGTTCTTAAAGAGCACTTCCACCCCGAGTCAGTTTATTTTTGTGGTAAATCCCAGTGAATCATCTAGCTAAGTGTTCCTTGAATTTAAAGCTAACCTCATGTGAAGTGTACACTGATAACACCTGAGGAGTAAGAGATCTCTAGTACCAAAGCAGATCTACTCTCTAAAGAATCAAAAAGAACACCTTCCTCAATTACCCATCCCACAGCTAGAGCTCACAAGAGAACACTGGCCATCACTACTGCTGTGAAAAATAGCTGCCACTTAGAGAAGATTCTGAGATACTGTTGGGTGTAGAGGTACTGAGGTGGAGGGTGGATGATGGAAAGATTGAAGGGTTTGGCAGGGAAGATTACAGAATGGATTTTGGTGAGGACGGGTTAAGGAACAGGACTCTTTCCAGGGAATTGCTGACAGGCAAAAAAAAATTGTAGCAGAGCTCCTTTTGTGGAGATATTACTGACTTTGGTGAATTTGTTCCTTCGTTTTCATTTTAATGGTGGGAGTGGTGTATTTTCCCCCAAAGAATTTCAGGAAAGGGTGGGGTAAGTAATTTCAGTACCGCTAACACAAATGTTTAGAAAGATGTATGGGATTTCCACCCCTTTTTTAAAATCCATTCCTGGGTGGGGAGGATGTTTTTTTTCCC